GTTTTTGGTGTGTGCGCGCTCCCTACGAATGGGGTGGTCGCCCCTCGGTCGGCAGGGCTGGGAGTGAGAGGCGTGGGAACGAACGATAATCTTTTAGAAAATTTTGGGCTTTTACAAATGTTGACTCCCTTGTCAATCTTGTTAATCATATATAAGGAGTGTCTGGTTACTATTCCTGCAGGAATTGTCCAGCAACTTCTGAGAAAGTATGGTAGTTTTATGCTTGGAACACAATTGGAGCGAACGACGAATTTTTTCGCGGCGTAATTTCGTCGTCAAAAATAAAAACCATATGTGTATATGGAAGTGCACACAACCACGGCGCCGGCGAAAATTTCGTCGGTCGCCTCGAACTCAATTAGCTTTATTTCTATTTCATACGCCGGCGAACGGCGACAAAACAGTACAAGGTGGCCTTACTTGTACGAATTTTATGTGTTTTAGTAAATAAAGTTACTTTTTACTTTAAAATTTGTTATGGTCACTCTACTATCTGTTATTCGTATAAAAAACATAAATAATTTGTTTATTTATTTGTGCACTTGCGCCTGAGTGAAGATGGATATTAGTGAATTTATAATAGAGAAGATGGACATAAATGAAATTATAAAGAATTATAAGTTCTTGTATAATTTTCATTGTAGTCAACAAATGAGCAAAAAGTAAACAACTTCATCAGCTGTTTTATAATTTCGTCGGTATTGTGTTCCATACGACGAATTTTCGCGGCTCATTTTGTCGCCGCGTAGGGCGAAATTCGTCGTTCGCTCCAATTGTGTTCCTAGCATTATTCTCTTTTGCAAGACAACTGTAAAAAGTAAACAGACAGAATTCCTGCAAAAACTTGCAATCAATCAGCTCGGTCAAACAGAGAAGAGCAAGTGATTGCAAGAAGAAATTTGTCCAGCAAGAAGCTTTCTTTTGCAGATCTTTTGTGTTAACAGTTCCAGTACCAATTTGCAAAAAAATTTACAAATTTTAGGGTAACCAGACACGCTGGTAAAGAATATGAACCATAAACAGTTATTAAAAAACAATTTGTGTAGCATACATGTTTTCAGCGAAGATATTTATAAAATATATTTTAAAGCACAAATATAGACTACATAGTGTTCAATCAAACCACATTAGTCGGATGTTATCGCACAGACGTCATTTTTCTTCGTTTTTCAATTTCGAGTCTGTTTTGTGTTTCATATATTTCAACTGGTCTACAACGACATTTTAAGAAGAAATATGAAAAATATACTGAAAATATACTGTTGTTTTATGAAAACAATATTTGTTAATTAGAGGAGAAAATTTTTTTTATAAATATATATAATTGACAAGTCAGTCAACAAAGTGTTTTTCTTTTGTCCTAAAACTGCCGCGTCAAAGCAAAATATTCTTCAAAATTATTTGTCATAAAAATATACTATAAGATTCAGGAGGCATAAAATTTATTACTAATAAATTTATATTACTAGATAAATAATTAAGTAAAAAATTAATTAAAAATAAAGTAAACGCTATGAATTCAAACAAATTAAAAGCATAATTTAGGAGTAAAAAAGTTCTTTGTGTAGGTTTGTAAAAAATATCCTTTAAAGTTTTTCACAAAAAAAAAAAAAAAAAAAAAAAAAAAAACCAAAATATATCTTCTTAATATTTTGATAGAAGTTTCTTCGTCCTTTTCGTTTTTTCAGAGGAAATATTCTAAATCCTTGCTTACTATAAATCTCAGAATAAACCGAATACCAAGGAATAATATTTTTAAGAAATTACATACGAAATCCGTGTACACTAGCAGAAATTATGTTATGATAGGGTCACATTAACATGTTACGTATAAAAAACAATGTATGGATTAACTGTAGGGAATGAAGCAGGAAATCTAAATGGTAATGAGCTTTGTCAAAAATTGACTGTGAAGAAGAGACACAGAGTAATAACAAGCACTTCGTTCCAACTTCGTGTCCAAATCCCAACAGTCCGCTGGTCATTACAATTTAATACCCATCCAAATGTACACTATTATGTAAATAGGAAAATGAAATAATAATAATAGCATGTGACTAACGCCCGATTCAGATGAGCAGTGTTGAAAGTAAAAGTTGTGCCATTAATTAGTAAAAAAGCATTTAAGTTCGGCCAGACCAAACTTTTTATACACTCCACCGTCCGGAAGGAACTTGAAAAATTTAAAAAAAAATCCGTTGCAAAATACCGGTCAAATGAAACCTTTATATGGGGGCTACACGAAGACGTGTTGCTGGATAAGTAACGACTCCGAACTTCAAATACGACATTTTACGCAATTCCGGTGAATAAAAGGAGGTACAGTTGTATGGGGGTATACCAAGACGTGGACATGCATAGACAATTTTTTCGTCATAGTTTGACGAAATTTGACGCATTTCCAGTGAATAATGTCTCGAAAATCCTGCGTTATATGGGTGCTAAACTAAAACGTAGCTCTTGATAAATAATTCTCTTCCAAAGGATAAGGTACTCAGAGGGTAAGGTACTTGTGTGGATTTTCAGACTATTCTACTGAAAAATGTGGCTTAAATCATCAAAATACTGAATGTCGGTGGGCACCATTGTATAGGGGCTATACGATATCGTCGACCTATATAGAAAATTCTCTTTCTTGGGGTAAAGTACTCCTTGTGTAGAATTTCAGACAATGGCATTGAAAAATGTGTCAAAATACCAATTATCGGGGGTAAAATTTTATGAGGGCTATACGATATCATGCACCGATATAGCCCATATTCGAATCGGTGCCAAATTTAACCTTCCTATCTTTATTAGTTTCGACTCTAGCGTGATTACAATTGTCTTAGAATTTTACGCTGAATATATATACTTTGGTTTAAATTATTATTTCGATGAATTACAAACGGAATGACAAACTTAATATACCCTCCATACTGTGATTGATGGAGGATATACAAAATAAAATACAAGAGTATAGTAAGCATGGTACAATGAAGAGAAGGTAGGTCAACTTTGAAAAAATTGCAAGTATAGAGGTCTACCTGTTTGGCTTGTAATGTCAGAATTGCTACCAAAACAATAAAAAATCAAACAACTTGTTGCATTTATTTTGAATAAATAATTTCAAACCGCGAAAAATGAATGAAAGGTCAAAATTTCTTTTCAAAATCATGTTCTATATATCTCTTATGGTTTATTTCGCGACAAAAACTGTAGATTTTGTCGAGGTATACGTTGCAATAAGCATTTTGAAAACACCCAAATTTGAATATTTCCTGAACAATTTTTTATTATTGAAAAAATACACACACATAAACATATGAAGTTGACATATTAAGCCAGAAAAATAAAAAAAATTGAAATCATATGGTTGTTCTGCCCTACCTTGAATTCATTGTACCATGATAGTAAGTATTTTTATACCCTCCACCTTGAAAAGGAGGGAATATTCTGTTTGTAGCATCCCTAAATATTGTTCGTAGATCCAAAAAAGTATATATTTTCATAATCAGCATAAAATTCTGAGTCGATTCAACGACGTCCGTCAGTCTCTTGAAATTACGAGCTTCAAAAATTGGCACAACAATTTGGTTCTAGGATGGTTGGTATTGAAAATGAGATATATCGGTCCATGTCTTTGTACACCCGCTATATAATGGAACCTCCCGATATTCGGTTTTTTGATTATTTTTTCCACGGATTTGTCTAAAAATTGATATTTCTGGGTCATAATGGGTCTTAGCTCGTTTGGCAAAATATTGTATGAATAAGTCCACGTTTTGGTATCGCCCCATATAATGGCACCTCCCGATATTCGATATTTTGGTGATTTTTGCCAATTTTTCCACGGATTTGTCTAGATATTGCTATTTGTAGTTCGTAATATGTTCTAGCTCATGTGGCAGAACATAGTATGCGTTTGTTCACGTTTTCGTATAGTCCCCATATAATTGTACCACAGTATATTCAGTATTTTTATAACTTTTTGCCACATTTTTCCACGGATTAGTCTAAAAATTGCAATTTTCCCACGGATTTGTCTAATGCAATTCACATTTACCCAGAACACTGTTTCCAATTTGGTACTTAAGAGAATTTGGTAGGTGACAGTTCTTGAAGTATAAAATTGTCTAAAGAGGTTCCCGTGTTGGTATGGCCCCCATATAACGGCCTTATCCACTTTACATTTTTTTAAAAAGTTTAGCAACACTATCCAAACGGTCTTACTTGTGTTTGTTATCTAAAATGTGTTTTCTGTTTTCTTTACACAATGTGGATAGTATTAAAAGTTCCGCCCGGCTAAACTTAATGTTTTTTTTTACTTCCTAACACATAAAATACTCCTTTATTTTATTAACTTATTATACCATCCACCGTGAAAATGATGGTATATATATTTATAATCGGCATAAAATTCTAAGTCGATTTAACGATGTCCGTCTGTCTGTTGAAATCACGATATTTGACGTAGAGCTATTTGCTGAACAATTTGTATTGTGCCTAGAATGGTTGATATTACAAATGAGTTATATCGGTCTACGTTTTGGTATAGTCGCCGTATAACAGTGCCTCCCGATATTAGGTACTTTAATGATTTTCGCATATTTTTTACCAATTTGTCTAAAAATTGGTATTTGTAGTTCGTAATGGGTTCCAACTCCGGCGGGAAAACATTGAGTATTTAGATCCACCGATATTCGATATTTTGACAAACAACTCTGTAAGAATTACAAATTGTTCAGTCAAATAAATGGATTAAATATTTGCCCCATTAAATGGTATCCGTTGATTGGATCTTAATGACATGTAACAGTTTATAGCGCGGCTGTTAGTCTTTCGTAGTCTTCATACATTTTGTTACACTTCTATTTAACTTAGCATCGTGTCTTGATACCTTGATAATCGATGCTAATAAACCTGGCAATGTTGTAATTACAAAATACTGTGGTAACTCAAAACAAATAACAATTCTCTGTATATACAACAACTTTATATTCCCTGTCAAAATATTAAGAATGATATCTACTGCTTTATCAAATCTCGTAAAGGAAGGTTTTGACGTTAAAGCTCTAAGAGCATTTAGAGTTCTCCGACCTTTAAGATTAGTATCAGGAGTTCCAAGTAAGTAAATTTAAAATATTTCCATTAAGTACCAACACTTGTTCATATTTCTAGGTTTGCAGGTAGTCTTGAATTCAATTCTAAAGGCCATGATACCTTTACTTCATATTGCGCTATTGGTGCTTTTTGTTATTATAATTTACGCTATAATTGGACTTGAATTATTTTCTGGAAAACTTCACAAGACATGCAGACATTCAAATACAGGAGAGTATCTAAATGATTTGGATGAATTACACGCGTGTGGAGTTGGTTTTAAATGCCCATCAGGATATGAATGTTTCGACGATTGGGTTGGACCTAACGATGGCATTACTAATTTTGATAATTTCGGATTATCAATGTTGACAGTATTCCAATGCATAACATTAGAGGGATGGACTGACGTTTTGTATAGTGTATGATATGTTAAAATTTTAATTATAGTAATATTTTGGAATTAATAATTTTCAGATACAAGATGCGATGGGATCAAGCTGGGAATGGATATATTTTGTTTCAATGGTTATTTTAGGAGCATTCTTTGTAATGAACTTAATTCTTGGCGTTTTATCTGGAGAATTTTCAAAAGAACGCACGAAAGCTAAAAATCGCGGCGATTTTCAAAAACTTCGAGAAAAGCAGCAAATAGAAGAAGACTTGCGAGGCTATTTGGATTGGATTACACAGGCGGAAGATATTGAACCAGACCCAGATGCTCAGATAATAGAAGATTGTCACAAAAATAAAGTAAAAGAGGTAGTTTCAATTGATAATTTAAAAGACCATGAAAATGAGACTCAGCAGACAGATTCATGGTTTCGATCACAAAAAAAGTATTTAGAGCGAATTAATCGGCGCATTCGTCGAGCCTGCAGAAAAGCTGTCAAATCGCAGGCATTCTACTGGTTGATAATCTTATTAGTTTTTTTAAACACTGGAGTACTTGCAACCGAACACTACAGGCAGCCTATATGGTTGGATCAATTTCAAGGTTGGTATTCGCATTTGAACGTAAATGGTGCTACGACCCCCTCTAGAGCCTGCATTTGCATTGCTCTAACCTTAGCTTTTTGATTAGCGTTTCCCTATTATTCTCGGAGTACTCCCTGAGCTTTCATACTGCTGTTGTTCTTAACTTGAAGGAGAGAAAGTAGATCAACTTAGAAATTGTAGGTTTCATTTGCTAAACACTATAGCTTTCTCCAATTATTGTATATTAGTAACTATATAATTGCAATCTTTATATTTACCGTCTTCCTATAATATATATATATATATATATATATATATATATATATATATATATATATATATATATATATATATTTTTTTTTTTTTTTTTTTTTTTAGAATATACTAATATATTTTTCATCGCATTGTTTACTTGTGAAATGATACTGAAAATGTACAGTCTGGGGTTTCAGGGATACTTTGTGTCTCTGTTCAATCGATTCGACTGTTTTGTGGTTATAGGAAGTATTTCTGAAATGGTATTAACCAGTAGTGAATTAATGGCACCTCTGGGAGTGTCAGTTTTGCGATGCGTCCGCCTACTCAGAGTATTTAAAGTAACAAAGTGAGTATATTTGTTTTTTTTTTATAAGACGTTATTATTGGCGTTAGAATGTAAGTCACTGTACATGGAACTAGAATGTTATAATAATTGTATTGATAACTCTTACACCCACTATTACACATATTCATGTCTAGAGGAGATGAGCCGGTTCATAAATGTTTCTATGTGGTGCATATTCATACATAATACCCTTGTAATTTCGCTAAGCTTATATCTTCACTTAATTGTACAAGGTTTGTGATCCTATCGAGCAAATCTCTTTTTCTGTAAGGAGTATTCGAAAGAGGAAGGGCAGAAGAAAAAAATATAACCATCTCACCTAAATCTTAATTCAACAATCTTTGATAAAAAACATTAACGTCTTTTTTAATATGGCATCATTTTTAATAAAAAATTATAAATTATAAAATTATAAATAATGGTATAATTTTGAAAGATTGGACAAGTGCCAATTTTCAATAAGGGAACTGATGAGGATCGGTGGCTCTTTCCGAAACCTAGGTATTCCCTGCCTTACCCCTGGTAAACATTACCCTCATTCGCCACTAATAAACAAACGTTGTTTTTATAAAAACAACAATAAAGGGGTTAAGCCTGACCATTTTGCAGCAACAAAATACTATGGTATCAACAAAGCCAACAATCCTTTAAAAATTCTATTAAAATCTTAAAAATACGGAATGTAGCCGTTATATTAGGATCTATACGACGACGTAGACCTGCATAGGCTGTAGTGCCTATTACGCACTTCAATTACCAAGTTTGAAACAATTATGCACGCTAGCGTTTGTCCCTGCAAGCAAATATACCGCGAATCACTAAGAAGTCACACCTAAGCGATAGAAATCATCGCGTTTGATATCGTTTTCTCACCCGGAAGGATAATCCTTCTGAAAGAAATGAAGCTCGCCCGCGATATATTTAAACATGACTAAAAAGCGTATACTGCGTAACTTCTAGGTCCTCGACAGTTATTGCATATGAAAAAATTGCAATTATTATACCATACAACACTATGTGTTGGGGGTATTATAAGTTTGATTGGGCCAAAAATTATGTAACACCTCGAAATATTAGTTTCCCACATAGGAAAGTATATATGGATCTTCCTATCTCGCAGAGCTGAGTCGATCTAGCTAGGTTTGTCCGTCCGTCCGTCTGTCCATGTTAATTTATAATCACTCTACAGGTCGCAATTATGGCCCAATCCTCACGAAATTGAAAATGGAGATGGGGTTATGGCCAGAATAGAACCCTATTGTTTTTTGGGGTGATGATCGCATAATATTTAACGATTGAAATGGACCAAAAACTGAAAAATTACCAGATTTTGCAGTTGCTTCACAAGGGTAGGGTTAGGCTCAGAAGGGTTAGGCCTATTGTTTCCAAAGATGTCCGCAATATATTTAGGTGTTGGAATGGACCAACAACTTAAAATGTTCCTGAATTTGCAGCCGTTATAAAGGTCATAAATAGAAACTAAAGGACACGAAATCTCGCATGAGGTTAGAGTTTAGGTGTGCTGGTAGAATTGAACACTACTTTTGTGTGAAAAAAATACCAACATTCTCATTCTACCGAAACGCTGCAATAACTTACAGGCGAAATCCAAAATACACAAAAGGCTAATTTCTGCCTTTTTGGTGCTAATTTCGTTGACGAATATAGCCAAATATCGTTGACAAGAAAATCATAAAGATGAGTCTAAATTTGAAGATACACAGTGGCATCTTGCTGTTGGAGATGGTCGCAAAATATTAACCAAATAATGCAATATTAATGAACCAAAAATAAGAAAAATTTCCTGATCACGACTCGCCTGAGAAGAGCGTTAAGGACAGAGAAGAATTCTAGCATTTTGAATGACCATTGTAATATATTTAGCTATAAAATGGACCACAAAAACTAACAGCACGACGGAGTCCATAAATATTGGGCAAATGTCTTTGGTCAAAATGCTAAGGGTAATATCTGGGCACCGTGCACCGTGACATAATTTCAAAAGCGAAATCTTTCAAAATGAATTTGGACATAAGAGGGCTTCCAACATGTTGTAGTGTTGTAGGGTATCACATGGTCGGCCCCGCACGGCTATAGCGTTGCTTACTTGTTTTTTTATTGTTATTGGTACCTTTCCAATATAAGCTTGGTTGGAACTTATACTAATTAGCTAAAATACTTAGACATTAATTTTTTTTTCGAGTTTTGCCTTGTTAAGGCGAAGATCATATGTTTTATGATTTAAGTGTTTGTTTTCTCTTTCGAGACGAGCTTAATGATCTGAAATTTGCAGTGAAAAGGAAAGCCAGATAGACACTATCACACACTCACCACACTTATATATATCTTCTTCTTCTATATCTATAAAAGAGGAAAATGTTTGTATGTTTGTTTGTTTGTTTGTTTGTTTGTTTGTAATTTATGGACTCGAAAACCGCTGAATAGATTTTCCTGAAAATTTCCATATATACTGCAACATCGCCTAAAAATAACATAGGCTATATACATTTTTGATTTTCCACTTGGAACTGGAAATATAGCAGCAGAATCGGAGGTACCTCCTAAAAATTTAGATTTTATATGCACATATCTATTGATTGGTTGAAGATACAGTCTCCAAATTTGGAATACGTAACGGAATTTGGAACAAAAATAAGTTTGCCAAATTATATTGTAATCGGTTCAGATTTGGATATAGCTCCCATATATATTTTCGACCGATTTCGTTCATTTGATGCCTCAAACACAATATGAATGTTCGATTCCAATGAAATTTGGAATGTGTGACGGGATTTAATCCGAAAATAAATTTGTCAAATTATATTGAAATCGGTTCAGATTTGGATATAGCTCCAATATATATTTTCGGCCGATTAAAGCATTTGATGCACCAAACACGCTATGTTTCCTCAATTTCAATGAAATTTGAAACGTGTGATAGATTTTATCTAAAAAAATCGATTTCCCAAATTATATTGAAATCGCTCCCATATACATTTTCGGCCGATTTCATATATTTGGTCGACCAAACACGATATGTATTTCCAATTGTAATGAAATTTAAAATAAGTAACGGAATTGGGAGCCACAATGAATTTGTCAAATTAAATTGAAATCGGTTCAGATTTGGATATAGCTCCCATATATATTTTCGACCGATTTCATGTATTTGATGCACCAAACACGCTATGTATCTCTAATTTCAATGAAATTTGGAATGTGTAGCGGAAATTAAAACAATATACATATGTCAAATTATATTAAAATCGGTTCAGATTTGGATATAGCTCTCATATATATTTTCGACCGATTTCATGTATTTTATGCACCATACACGATATGTATGTTCGATTCCAAAGAAATTTAGAATATGTAACGGGATTTTGATTAGAAAATAAATTAGTGAAATTATATTAAATCGGTTCAGATTTGGATATAGCTCCCATATATATTTTCCTTCGATTTCACTTATTTGATGCATGAAATTCGGCAAGAGTGGCTAAATTTGGTACAAAAATAAATTTGACAAATTATATGCAAATAGGCTCAGATTTGATTATAGCTCCCATATATATACTCAGCCGATTTCACATATTTGATGCACCCAAAGCGAGAGAGACAAAATCTGGCACCAAAAAAAAATTGCCAAATTATATTGAAATAAGTTGAGGTTTGGGTATAGCTAACATATATATTTCGGCCGATTTCATACATGTTATGCACCAAACATGATATATATGACCGATACAAATGAAATTCAAAATGTGTGGCGGAATTTGGTTACAATAATAAATGTGACAAATTAATTGGAAATTAGTTAAGATTTGGATATAGCTCCCATATATATATATGTTATCGCCCGATTTCACATGTTTGACGCACCAATTTCATTGAAATATGAAAGGTGTGGCGGAATTTGGTGTAAAAGTATTTTTTTTAAAATATATTTAAACCGGATCAGATTGGGATATGATTTTAATAAGAACCATTGACCCACAACGCCTTAGGCTAACACTAAAAAACAAAACAACAATTGATTTGAAATACGCTTATTACGGCGAAGTATGTTGCTATCTCGAATTCACTAATTGCAATAGAAAAGCCACTCAACTTGAAAAGATTGCATTTTACTGCACGCTTGGTATTTGCTATGAAATAAATAAATCCGGAGGACAAACCCTTCGTGTATGTATGTCATGTTACTGCTTTTCTAATGGTTTTGGTTATTTACGCATTAAAGTAGTGCCATATATATTTTTTTTTAATTTTTATTTTTTTTTTTTCAACCAACATATATTCGTAAATAAAATTTTGAATGCATATAAAATCAAAAGGGGTTGCGAAGCGCACCGGGTTCAGCTAGTATATATACATATATATATATATATATATATATATATATATATATATATATATATATATATATATATATATATATATATATATATATATATATATATATTTATATATATATATATATATATATATATATATATAT